AGAGTTTACTTCTGTGCGTTCCCAGTATAGTATGCTTTGCATACTACTACCCAAAAGCATGCCAGCACACAGCCTAAACTACGTCAGTTGCAGCATTCCCCCACAAGATGCGCAGGATTTCATGAACCAAACCAAATGAATCATGTTGTTTCTAAACACATCTACAGTATATACAAGTAAAACAATCAACCGCGAACCTAGCGACAATCTAGCGCTGCCTTGGTGATTTGCTTAGTTCTGCTGGGGGCCCGCCACTAAACAAACACTAAAAATTAACATCCCAACCATTTTACGCGCCTCCTTCAAAAAAGACTTACTATAGGTGTTTGACATCTCATCATGTGGCTTCTGTGTCTCACGTTGCTTGCCTCAGACTGGGCTTGTCTCATCAGTCGATCAATTCCTATGGGGGTTCTTGCAGATGTTCCCTTATATAAATCACTTCTGAGGATCAGAGATAGTCACTCACCCCTTGCAAGGTATTATATATCTCCAAGGTCAAGGTGTTCTCGCTGCTACATGGCGATCACGTGGTGCTAGTAGTATAAGATGTTCTGCACATGTGGAAGTTCGTTTCAACTGCGCCAGAGGAACCGCTGAGCATGTTTGTGTACACACGATATTTCCATTCATGGAAATGTACGCAGACTCAGACAAAGGCCAAGTTTGCAGAAACCAAGGGCCAGCTGCAAACAGTTTGAGTTTTTAAGGAAGGAACTCGTTCATTCTCATCTTCTTCATGAAGGACACTGAGCTTCTGAAGCATTTGGAGGACCTTGAAGCATAAGCTCAGTACGCTGTGTGACCACTCTCTATGAGCACAGCCATGTGTGCCCTAAGGCTGGTACGACCTTGGGCTTTGGGGCTGCTAAGGAACGAGACGAGCAAGCAAGGGCTGTCCAACCTCGGCTCGATTGATCTGTGGCCACCCGACTCGAAGCTACTCCCAAGCGCCCTGACGATGCTACAAGGTCTGCAGACCGTATTACGGCAACTGCATCTTCTCATAAACATCAAGTGACGAAGGTGACTCAGTCTCCGAAGGTGCTTGAGGTGCCAAAGAATCAAAAGATCTCTAGTCAAGGAAGGCAGAGCAAAGAAATCTCATGTTCAAAATCTTCAGACGGTTTGAATCTCCAAACATCTCAACCTGAAAATCTTCTGGATTGGTCTAGACATCCAAAACCTCTACTTTCATGGTTTAAGCTTCTCCAGGTCCAAACATGGGAAGCGAAAGGACAGAAATTCAAAGACCAAACATCTTAAACTCTTAAACCAAAAATGTTCAATATCTGTACATGTGGAACAAAAGCGGGTTTTGGAGGGAGGGCGGCTGTTTGGCATGTTTGGTGTTTGAGGCTTTACTGTCCAGTCTGACTGTATTTGTGCCCCTCCATCCCTTCAAGCGTACACCTCCAGGTCCATAACATTGGAGTTTGTTTGCATCGTGTCACCAGATCCAGAACTTTTGCAAACGACTTGGCTAGCCGGCTTGGACAGGGGTTGCTCAAAAGTTAATCACGTTCACAGGAGGGGTTCAACCCATCCATTCACTGGAGCTGCAACGCCACAACTCACCTTGGGCGCTAGCGAAGCCACCAGCAAACCACTTCGGGATTTGCCAGCGCAGCATCCGCCTGGACTCCCGATCAAGGAAAATCCAAGCTGGGCACTGCTCGAGAATCAAGATCCAGGCACGAAGAACAAACTGGAAATCCTTGTCTTAAGTCACAGCTATTTAGGGACCCAAGCTTCCCAGAATCTATATATAACCTGAAGCCATGGTTTGTAGATCTCTAACTTTCAAGCCATGCTGATTTGATACAGTAGCGGTTCTGCATGCGTCAGTGGGATGGCCGCTCAAACCAGCCTTCATGAGAAAGGCCAGCTTGGAAAATCATCAAACATGCATGTAACAGAGAAGTATATCGGTAGAACTGCTGGCTGGCATCGTGGGGAGAGATGGTGCTCGAACTCATGATGCGACATGGAATCTCAATATGGGAGATCCAATGAAAGACAGCTCCGAGAAAAAGGAAATGGCTAGGCCAGCAAGTCATTGAGTGTTTAATTTCTGTGCTGATCTGAACAGCTCCCACACTATGTCTCTGCCTCCGGCCCCAATGCTGCTTCAAGACCTCTCCAAACAGTCTTGGTGAAGGCTCCGCATCGAGATTAGAATAATTCAACTACAAACAACGTGCTTTTGCTGATCGCAACATGTGTTGCGAATAGACTCCCAATCTTGACATGTACTGTGGCGAACTCCGGAGACTGGGCTCTACATCATCTTCTGACGACAAACAAACCCGGGGAAGAAAAGACATTGGAATCCTAGGGCAAAGATTCGGCACAATCAGCTGGAATCGAACGTCCGTCTGGCCTCCAGGTTCATGTGCAGGTGCTTGTGGAGTTGAGCAAATTCCGGCTCCTGAGGCCTACAGTAGATCAGATTGCTGGTTTCAAAGGCACAACAGGAAAATCTCAGCACAAGACTTCTAGAGCAGATGCAGAATGAGTATGCCAGAGCTGGCGATGCCTCAGCAGGCATACAAGTGTCTCCCAACTTGACAGCAATCTTGCAGGTATTGATTCTGTGGCTAAGCAGCTATGTCACAGTCAACACAATTCTTGCCCCCTGATGCAGATACAATTGGAAACCAATTTAGATGCAGCATGAATGTTCAGCACTCTTGACTAAGGCTGGAACAACAGCTGAAGGCCATGCAGAAGAGCCTTTATTCAACTTTATTCTTTGAAGCATCGCACCCTTGAGTCAAGTCTTCTACGAATGGCCTGCGCGGCCAGGACCACTGGTCCAGCTAGGTCTGCGTGGAGTGGGAATCTCGAGGTCAATCTTTGGACCTTGGTAAACCAAATGAAAAACCATAAGAAAACCGAGAAAACCGGGGAAGAAACCTGAAGAAGGGAAGAAACTGAAACACCCCCTTCTTGGATCCGTCCCCCCCAAATTCTGAGGGCATCACGAAGCCAGCGGCCGAACCTGAGCAAAACATCGAAGCGCGTGCGCGCGCACGTGCTCGTCGCGGTGGCAAGCGCCGACGTCGCTGTCGACACATCGTCTGGGGCACCCGTGCAAGACAAGTTCTGAAGCTCAGACATGACGTCCTTCTCGGATGCTGAGTCCTGAAAAGAATCAATGTCTAGCGGTTCGAGGTGATTCTTCTTGCAGTCATGAATCCCAACCAAAAGAGAAACGCTTGCATGCTGCATGCAGAAACCGCACATCTGCCTGCTTGTGGCCAGGGAGCAAGCGCAGCCTCAATAGATGGAATGACCAAATGACTGCTGCTAGCTAGCTACATCCTCAACTTGCCACCGCATCATGTCCAAATATATAGCAAATGAAAAAAATCAATCGTGTTCTCCAATTATCAAGAACCCAACAAACGGAAAAATATGGCAGTCTCATCTTCCTGGATCTTGATAGTCAACTGTGGTGTCACTGCTAAGACCGCTGCACCCGATCTGGTCGACAAACCTCTGCGGAAAAAAAGAAAAAGCACAAAAACCAGCGCAGATGTCGTCGAATTCAGCGACCGGGTGCCCAGCAGATGTGGCAAAGGTGGCCACCTCCTGGCACAAGTCCTGCGCAACAAGGACACGCGTAACTGCCGAAGACAGAGGTCCAACAAAAATATAGCTTAGTCTTGTTCTTGGCAGAGGTCTAGTTCGCATTATCTGGACCTTTTGAGAGCTTCCTCGTGGAAAAAGCAGTCCACTTTTGAGCCTTCCCGATGTCGACAACTCCCAGAGTGAATGTATGCAGAGACAGCGGAAAAGATGAACTCTCTCATCTGAACTCACAGACAGTCCGATCAGACGGACCACACAGACCCTGAGAATTGACCGGTTTCAACCATTTTCCGAATAGAAAACCCAGTGGTTGTGGGGTCCATGTGGACCTCTGCAGGAGGGTATCGGCAAATGGTTGCCTCAGTGTCCCGACTATCGCACAAATCAAACCGGGAACCTGTCCTGGTATGCTGGCGGGTGCTGTCCAGAAACCTGGGTAGATGGAGATTGCAACATTCCACCATTCCCGTTCCCCACAGCCTAGCAACCTGGTCTAAAGGAACAAGTCTACGCCAAAGTCTGGACGCTTTGCGCAATGATAGCAAGTGAGACTGGTCTAAGTCACATCTCCCAGCAAAACAGTATGACTTATTCCCATCTGCAGCCTCTTTGTGTGTATGTGGATGCAAAGTGGGCATGTCCACACGGACACTGCAGATGTTACAACTCATCTTGCATGACACAAACTCATTAACCAAAACCAACTCGCAAGAAGCCTATGAATGTGGCACAAGACAACTCATCAACCTGCTCCACTTGCCACGCGCTGCAAATTGTCTCTGACTGGTGCGCGGTGTCTGGTCTGGTGTCGTCCCTGTACAATTTGTACAACGCAAGCCATCTGAAAAGTATGTCAGGTTGATTGATCAAGTGCAGGCCACCAACAAGACTGCCAGTATCAATCGAAAGCCTTCAACGATTACAGGTACCAAGGGATTTGCATTATTGTGGAACAGCCAGCTGTTCATGCTCCATCCATATGGTGGCCAAACATGCCTGACACTGACATTTCAGAGAGAGAGCTCCCTTCATCCGCTTGTCAGTCGTGACAAGGCACGACTTAATTGAAAACATTGCCTGTCTTCTCTTGTCTACCTAGCTTTTGGGCCACTAGGCCTCACCTCGCATGATTCGTCAAGTGAACTATGCAACGACACGCGGAGAGGTGCCTGCAAAAAGGGAAAGGTTCAAGTGGCATCGTGGTACCCACACTGGCAGTCCCTGCTTCACTTGGAATCTTGAAGAACCAGAAACACACTGGTGCACGCAGGTATGCCCATCTTTTCTCGCTCTACCAAGGAAGCAAGCCATGTGTGGATGCCTAGTTTCAAGCACGTCCCTGGTTTGTGCACCCAATATGGGAAAGCCCCATGATTGCTACATGCAAGTTTCTCCAACCTTGACAAGGGTTTTTGGGGGACGTGCTCAAACGGATGTCATCTAACGCTGTAAAAGGACTTGAAAGATTCTTTTCATTGCAAAAGCTTGTAAAAGCTGGTAGCAATGGACTTTTTCAAAAGCCGTCGCTGATGAATCCCAGGCCCAATCAACCCAGGATCCTGCTCAACTCATGGAGTTCACACAGCTCAAGAGTCGCCGCAAAATCACCATTGGAACGGCTTCGTGGCCGACGTTGTAGCCGAAGACCTTCCAAAAAGACAGGAGCCTTCGGGTAGGCTGATTGTTGTGGAAAAACTGAGCTGGAATCACTAGGTTTATTCAGCTTGCTTCCAGTTGCAGAAGATTACATAGTGTGCCTTTGTGAGTTAATTTCAATGAGTTGGAAACCGGCTCTTGCCCCTCAGGATGAAACATGGCTAGTGTATCTATTCACTACCTGCACCCAAGCATCCAAGCATAAGGGTTGCTTGAGAAAGACCCCTGGCAACAAGATTAACATTATCAAAAAAGACTGCTTTGAAGACTGGTCAGCGTGGTCAGTCGTTCAGTGTATGTACATATATAGTTGTATAATATGAATAATATATAATAGCAATAACAATAAATTGTAATAGTAAAAAATATGTATATATATACACATATAACATGTATACATGTGTATATTATATATATATATGTATACGTGCATGTTACATAATATACACGCATCACTCATTTGAGTCATGTTGAGGTCTTTAACAAGCCTTGAGTTTGATTTTGACCATTTGCTGCGACGAGCCTTCACAATTGTTTGGCAAAAATGTCGTCTTCATAGCCTCAAGGCGAATGAGAAGAGCTAGAAACACAAGACCATGTAGCGGGTTGATCCAAAAACTATGTGTTGCGTATTGGGATGTTTGCGGAAGTTCTTTTGTTGTGCTTGTGCATCGATGTTGATATGAAAAACCGTCTCCACTTCTCCACTTCTTCCCTGAAAGAGGAGAGTTGTAAGTCTACAAGGTGTGGGGTAGGGCAGGTGTGGTCTACATAATTTTTTTATCATAATCCGGTACACTTCGGTCGTGGGCTGTACTTCTTCTTGGGCTGGTACTCCTTCAGATCTACGTAACCCACAAGCAGTCGGCTGAACGGAACGAATGCTGTGGGGAATCGAGTGAGTGCCATGTCAAACGAACGCTTTTTGGAGCGTGTGTGCTACGGAATCGTGATGAATCGTGTAGTGCACTGTGCTGTTTGGGTGCAGAGTTGGTACTGACTTGTCGTTGAAAACCATGAACCAGCCTGGGAGATGCAGGGGCGGTGCTTACAATGTTCTACACAATCCGCCCGACACAGTCGTGAAAAAGGGTGGCTTCACACAGCTCTGAGGCCAGACCAGAACTGCATGGATTTCAAGCAAAAAGCGCTCACCGCTGATGGTTGGGAGTTTGCTTTTGAGATTCCAAAGCTACACCAGTGGGTCGAAGGTCCAGAAGGTCCAGCCCAGTGGCCTAACTCAGGCAGGGCATGGCCACCGTGACGTTGAAGGATGCACCAGGACCTCCAACGGACGCGACGCGCATCCCTATCCACGTCCCGTCGTGGTGACCGTCCCGGCGCAGGATCGGAAGCTGTCTGAGTCCGCGGCCGTATCCCGATGGAATCGGAACTTGATAGGTGTATCCTGAAGAGCATGTCGAGGATGGGAGGTCATGGCATGTGTCCACTCTGCTTTTTTTGTTAAGAAGTTTTTTGCTCAAGCCATCTCAAGCGCAAGCCAGCCCAAGCCCAGGCTCCTTGATACTCCACGGGCATGGTCTGCATCGTCGGTGGGTAGCCCCTTCGGTAATCAGCATCAATACTCAGCCCCTCCGGCACAGTGACCTCCATACGAGAAAGCCGCTGACGGCGACGGCGACCCCCCTTGTAGACCCGGCCTGGATCTGCTGACTGCCAGGTGCAGCGGCAAGAATACCAGCTTCCTCACACGGAAGCAAGGTGTGAAACGCTCGGATGGCTCGGGTGTATCAAAAATCGAAGCATTCAAACAACCATTTCCGTGAAACTCTCCTGTTGTCTGATCATTTCATTCAGCATCACCTGCAAAGAAAACCCTCTGATGTGGAGGCTTGATTCTACTGAGTCATGTGTCTGGTCTCTGCAGGTCTCTGCAGACAGCTGCGCAGTGTGGTCTTTCTGTGTGTGTGTGTGAAGCGAGTGGTGGCCAAGCAGTTGATCTTCATGATGATGCATATAGATTGGAAAGATTTGGAAAGTTTTTTGGCATCTGAAGATGCATGTGCCAAGGCACAAATTCTGTCGAATGCTTGTCTGTTTGGTGATCTTCCGCTTTGTAGTCACAAAGTCTGGCGACAAGCCACATGCGAATTAAGAAATGCCTCATAGTGACTCATAAAGCAGGGGGTTTGTAAGCAAGGTTGGCGTGCCGGATGTGTGTGATGGAGGCCCGAACAGAAGCACCCAAAGCCTTTGGCATGTTTGCGGACTTTCATCATCACTACACTACATGAGCCTTCAAGAAGGTATCATAGTCAGCAGCAGCTGTAAGGCTGGTGAGGAAAGAGTCCAAGTTTTCCTCGGCCCGACGAAACAGCTGGAGCAAGTCTTCCCCCTGCAATCATGCACTTCTTCTTCACAGGTGCAGGGTGTTGGAGCTCGCATCAGGATGTGGCTGAAAGCAAGTTGCGGCCGAAAGGCTGCAGTGTCTCCAAGAGTTTCCCTCACTTCATGCAAATGCTGCATGGTGGACTGAAAGCTCTCCTTAGGGTTCAACGCTCAGCATCTCGAAGCAAGTGTATTGCAGAGCACACAAAGTATGCTGCAAAGTATTGGCAGGCGTTCAGTTCTTGGGTACATCTTCCAGCATTGCAGCCTGGATTCCCTTGTCATCCCAATCTCTGCCAAGGTATTCCTGAGAAATAGGATGAATTCGATGATTTTTGTCAATGAAGCTATTGCACAATCATGTGCTTTGAATACCGAGGGGCTCCAGTTGCGATTCAAAGATGTTGGTGTACTCTTGGTGTCCTAAAGCGACAAGAACGGCAGAACCAGACAATTGAGCTGTGTTTGCTCATTGGATGTGTCTGGACTGATCTAATCATTCCAATCCCTCTGAGTGAGGTCCAAGGAGTCCAAGGACTGACGCAGTGAGCATGGGATTGTAAGAAACGACCCTCAGTTCTAAAGAGTTCGGCCGAGGGGCGCAAAGTCCAAAGCCTTAGATGATGCAGTCTGACCGGATGACGGACACCACCTCTCTGACCGTCTGGCCGTCAGTTCACATCTATCCAGCTCGTGTGCTTGTCCACATCAGGTGCCTCAACTAAATATAGATATATATATATATACATGATACATGAATTTCAATGAATCCGATGGAATCATGACTCACCATGTCCATCAGAACAGACAAGTCTTTGACCCATCACAAGCTGAGTTGATCAAACAAAAATCGACCAACTCGGACTCTTTTGGAACCAAACATTCCCAGTTGAAAGACGCCACCGGGAACGGGTTGAACCTCCATGGCGTTGAGCCTCAAAAACGGTTAAACTCTAAACCGGTTGAGCCGAGTTTCAGAGGGTGGGAGCCATCAGGCCACAAGGCCATGAAGTCACCAGCGTGTTCTGCCGCAAATTCTTGGAGCAGGTGCTGAAAGTTGCCTTGGCGAAACAAACAAAAACGGATGACACGTGCACCCCTCTTGGATCTATTGTGGGGTTGCAAAGCTCTGTTTTAGATGTTTTTAGGAGGTAGAGGACACATGAAGACACAGACGGTAAGGTCATTTCATGGAGCTCTAGGCCAGCCTGGAAGTAATAACATGTTTGGTTTTTCAAGTGACAATGCCTTTTCCAGGAGACATCAAAGCACATCATTGATATCAAGAAGCAATCTTCCAGACCATCACGAAGTGGCTCCAAGCTGGATGTTATGAGCCAATCCTGACAAAGGACGAACTGGAAGGAATCGGTGGGTAGGTCTCAAGATGCTCTTGATTTGCTTTCCCTGAGGCAGAGGTTCGTTCTTTTTGAGAAGCCCCAATTGAGGGCCATATTGACAATAAAATTGCTGAAGTTGCTGGAGCCTCGTGTTCCTTCTGCCGCAATCTTGGTGAGGTCTGATCCTCTACAAAGTCATAGGCGAAATCCTTGGTGATTGGCAAGATCTTTCAAGGCACTTTGTGTTTTGATATGTTTTGTTCTTGATGGTACCCACCACGCTTACTTTGTGTTGCAAAAAGCAGGTTTTGCGCTCTGTAGGTCATACCCTTCAAGCTCTCTAAGGCTGATACGGTTTTGTTAACTTTACATGCTAAATGTGCTGCCCGCATTCCGTGAAAATATTATCTGTATCTGCTATGAAAACTGTTTTCCTATGAACCATGGCAGTATGGTAGGGCACGAGTTCCACCTCCCTTACTGAACTCAACTCTACGGTTCTCCACTCTTCTGCATGCTATGTGTGCTCTTTTTTCCTAGCTGTTCCATTCTCCTTCCCTTCCTTTTTTATACTTAAAGAAGGGGGTGCAAAAGCCAGCGGTCGCAGCCCTCTTCGAGTGCGTGGAGGGCGGTCATCCATGCCAGCGCAGCAAGTGGCATCCCTGAGAGGTCTTACGGTTATTGTCTTCTGGTCTTACAGTCCTGCGCTGATACCACACATTGCCTTCCGGGCGGAAATCTTTAAGGCGTTGACACACCTGCTTGCAGGTTGCCGTCTTTACAATATCGTCGCAAGCCATAAAGACAGGCGCCTACATCGCTCCATACACACAACTGGACATCCTGCTGTCCACTGGCATTGTGTCATGGCCACTTGGTGATGCAAAAAATGCATTCAACCTTTTTAGCAATACTCGCATCACTAAGTCCTTATAGAGGTGCATTTTGGACAATTCCTTTTGTTCGCTCTCCTCCAGCAGGCTCTGGGTTCACCCTTCCCTTCATTCAACCTAGCCCATCGGCTGGCTTTTGTAAAAAACGCCATACCTTTTTGTGTTCCGGTGATACATGTTCGGCTCTGTGACTCTACCCTGCTCCTAATTTCTCAATTTGCACTCACTGCTACATACTGAACACTTCATTCTTCTGACAATCACGGCCCAAGGCACATATTGTCAAACTAGTAATACCTCACCATTCGGTGGTCTCAACCTTTGTGCCAAATGCCAAGTGGCAGAAGTCGCCATAATTTCCGATAAAGGCCGATACAAAATCAAGGTCTAAAGAAATGAGTTTCCAGTCAAGGAGGAACTCGCAGGACTTTGCAAGACTTTTCTTGATGGGTTCTTTAAGTTTCTTCACTTCCTGAAGTCATATCTTTTGATAATTGTCGCAGCATGCCACAGCATGATCTCTGAGCCAAGCTACAGGTCACAGTGCAAATCTTGCATCTGTGTAAAAGATTGATGGAAGTGCAGAATCAATGTAGTTGGTCCAAGCTGGCTTCTACTGTTGTGTTGACCTGGGTATCCTCCAGTATCACTTTCAAGTGACGTTGAATGCAATTCCGACCTTGATTGTGCTCTCGCAGCTGGCATGTGCCAAGGATGGGACGATGGAGATTGCTGGACTGGATCGTTGCCTCTACTATTGCAAGTCGAAGAAATGGGGCAGGTGAGACCCTCAACCATGAAGTTGCACCACAACTGAGTATTTGTCTAAAGAAAAAGCCCCCGCATCTTTGCTTGGCATCTTTACTTGCTGTCTTTCCTTGCTGAGGATTCTCGCTTTAACTCCTGGGACAGCGCCAAAGGAGGGCGCAAGCGGCATTGCCTCCGGCACTGTTCACAACCAATTGGATGAGTTCTTCGTCGTTCTCTCCATTTCTCGGAGACTTGAAGGGCTCGGAGACTTCTGGGATGAACGTTACATGACATCTTGTATATGTCCCTTTGTTGGTACAGTGTGTTGTTCCAGCAACAACTAGAGCAAACAAGTCCGCCAAGGCTGTTTTGCTTAGACCCATCCAACCATAGGCCATTCATCTTGGATGAAACATATGTGTAATAAGAGTTCGATCTGATTTCCAGGGCAGGGAATGTCGCTCAGGCTGTGGCTGTCGCAGATCCTTGGCTTCTTCCCGCCAAAGGTCCCCCTGACATCGAGCGGTTTTTTCGAGCATCAGTGGCTCCCAGTCATCCAAACGACCGCGTATCGAAAGACATGTTGATAAAACCTTAGATGCAAATGGAGACCATCGCTATTAGGTTGGAGATCATGCTCAATCAAAAGCCCGAATCAGCATGTATATATACAAAAAAAAGGGATCCTTGTGGATCTCCTGCCATGCGCCATGAACGCTGGGTATTGTGGCGGCTCGGCCTCATCCACAGAGTTGCTTGCGGCCGGTTCTGAGGCACAATGTGCATCGATGACCAATTCCTCCAGCTTGGGGAAAGCCGTCAACAAGTTGTGGATGACTAAAACCATCTACCTCCAAAATGAAAAATCCCATGGCCAAAGGTTTCCGTGGCAAAAAGGGTACAGCAACTGACGGACGCTTCCAACGTTGTTAAGACCTCCTCTTGTCGCTGGTTTCGTGATCGCTTGGGTTGGCTGGTTCTCTTGTCTGAAACTCCTGGTCGTTCTGTTTCTGCTGGCCTCCAGAGCACGTGCACTCACCTCGCGATCCAGCTCGTCGGCCCGCCTTAGACCTTGCGATGTTCCACAATTGCTCTCAAAGTCAAACGCTCAGTTGGCAGTGAAGCATGACCATTCTATGTGTTATAAAGATCCAACCAAGTCACGGTTCCTCTGAGCTGAGACTGCATGTTCTTTCCAACAAAGAAAAAGCCACAAATACGACTTCATCTTTTGGACCTTCTCCTACATCAGTTTTCCCCCTTTGTTGCTCCAAAAATGCACCAACCCGCCGAGGACGTCCTTCAGCCCACCCGCCGCGCCGCGTCGGACCCCCCCCCCCAAACCCCGCCGAGGTCGAGGACCCTCCGAGCGGAGCTGCTCGGCGACCTCGCCGGAATCGACGCCGCCCGGCCTCGGGCGGGAGGCGAGTCCCAGGAATTCTATTTATTTCTTGTTACTAGTAGCTTCTTGTTCCTATGAGCAAGGCCAGGAGCCCCTAGTAGCGTCTTTGTTACTACTTAGTAAGGCCAAAAACCCCTAGTAGCGTCCTTGCTCCTAGTAGCGATGCCCCAAAAGGCATTCTTTTTCAAGACATGAATTCCATGTTCCATGGATGTGGATCTTGTTATGGCGCCCTCAACTTGGAGTACTTCATCCGAGGTCACAGCAGAAGGACACCACCTCCGGAATGCAGTCGCCAAAGCGCCGACAAAGCCTTTTCGCCAGCTGGTTCATTGAGTCCGGCACCACCGAGCTCCGTGTGGGAAAGACTTGCCAAAAAGAGGACACAGATTAATATGTATATTGAAAAATAGGGAGGCCTCCCAGGCAACGACCCCCTGGAAGAAGGAAAATAAACCAAAACCCATTGGTTGGGGTAACACGACTTGCGGACGGATGTCAAACGTTCGCCGCCCCAAAAGTCCCTTCCCGCATATTACGGGGGGTGCTTGGGGTGTTTGCTACAGGGCCCTCGACTACAGGTGAGAGGAGTTTGGCCGAGTTGGATCTACAAGCTGTACATTGGATTGGTGTGTCCCTAAAAGAGTTTGAATTAACTACGAATTGTTGCGTACTGCCCACTAGGAGGAGTGGATCAGACGGCATATGCGGATTTGGATGAGCATCTAATTCGGAAATGGGTCTGGTAGATTATCTAGACCTCCTTGCGTGCGTATGAATTTGTAAGCGCGATCTGTAAGCGTAAACCTTTTCTTGAATGCAATTTCTGTTAGAGCCGGATACTGGACCATTGGAATGTTGTCCTCTAGCCGGAGTGGAAAGTGCGTTGAGAACGGTGGGTCATGTTTTTGTGCTAGTTGGAAATTAGTGATACTAGCCACTGTCTTTGCGGCATTCGGGAGGACAGGTCTACTGGATATGCTTGCCTTTATGGTGTTATCGAATCCTAGAGCTGCCGTGCTGCCTGCTCCTGTTTTCTTGCAACGAGGGTACAATCTTTGTTGTGAGAATGTCTCAATGTGTTGCAGGACTAGACGAAAAGTCTCAGCTTGTTAACGGAGTGCTCGTTTGATGGGTGGGAGCCGTTGTATTCTTGTGTCGGAGATCGGGAGCGCTTCGAGGGACACCCTTTCCGTTTGGGGGACGGATGGGTAAGTCGATACCTGTGTAGCACAAAAGCGTCAATTCGTACCAGCTAATGCCTAAGTCACCTTGTATGGGAGGGGAGGGTGCCGGGTGTCATTTCAGTGTAGACATGAACTGCCAAACTGCTGATGCGACGGTACGCCCCCCCATGTATGTCTTAAATACCATTGGGAGCGGATTAGGCACCGGTGTGTGAGTTGCTAATATGGGGGACCGTTGGTTGGGGGTCTCCCTCTTTTGATGATGCGCTTTTCTGGGTGTTGAGGTCAACGAGCTGAGAAAGGAGCCCAAATGCGGCCGCAAGCACTGATGGCATCACTGGCTGTCATGGCCTGACGGCAGTGCCACGGGTCAAGAAAGCCACCAAAAATCTGAAGGTCACAGAAGACAAATGTAATGAAAACACTTACCACCTTCCTTTTCCAAAAGCACGCTTTGGCAACGGTTTGAAATGTTTGTCAGACCCAGGAAAATTACATTTACCCTGAGCGTCTCTCCGCCTTCCGTTCTCGGCAGCAACGTTCCAGCACCACCAAGGCAGGTGATCTCAGCATGAATCCGAGGCTTGCAAAGCTGGCACAGAATCACACAGATCACAGAGCTGACACCATTCCCTACAAAAATTGGGCTCCAACGCAAAGGCAGTCACTATTTCTTGGAAGGACATGGGCCATTGTACTCCTCAGAATAGAAAAGCATCAAAATGAGATGCGTTGGTGTTGTGATTTGGGCTCCTTCTGCTGCTGGTACGGCCACCTCCAGAAAGTGCTTCAACAGCCACAAATGTCATGCCACATCAACACAGTCTCCGAGTAATGATAACAGGCTTGTGGTGCAACATTAATATGACCATTTCCCCTTCTAAGGACTTTGTTGGAGTGATCACATGTTTTGCTTGGTTAGACTGGTTTACGGCCTAGCTTGATCAATGTTTGAACGGAACAGTCGGAACTTCCAGGAACCACCAAGAGAGACCAACTTTGCCTGGGATCGAGGGTTCCCTGTTGGTCCATGGCCTCCTGTCCATGGCCTGGCCTCCTTTCCATCACACAGCCTCTCTCGCAGCTCTCCAAGCTTCAGAGCAATCTCAAGAAGTTGGCCACCCTGCGAGTTCGACCAGAGTTTTTCCATCAGTTCTACAAGGTCAACGAAAGTCTTCTACGAAATCGAGGACTTTCTTTGTGCGCCATCCATCGGTCTCTGACGATCGCACCATGTCGGCGTACGACGCCGATTCCCGCCTTTCCGGCTAACTCCTCCCCGGCCATCATCACCAAATCAACGGCCTCAATTTCGAGCAACACGCGATGATTTCGCAGTCACAGGATTGAGATGATTTGGTAGTAATTCAACTCATCCGCAAATCTGTTCATAGCTGGAAAAGAGCTTTTCCATCAACGTTTGCTTTGACTAAGCATGGTGGACAATAGATACAAGATCCATCAACATCCACATCTCCGTACCAATCAAGCTCTTTGTCCGAAAGGATGGGGTGCCCAGCGGACATGTCAGCTGGATTGGCTTCACCTGCAATTTGTGGAACCAGGGAACCGCACACATTACAACACAACTCGTTTCTCAAACCAATGGACGCAATAAAAGCACTGATTTCTTGTTGCGGTTTGCAAGAGCCGAATTGTTGCCCCCAGTGGCCGCTTCGCAATGGAAGGCAAAAAAGGAACCCTAAAGATCCTTGCTATGACTATGACGGAACCCCCACTTTACAATCTTGGACGGCGAAAGCAACACTGAGGCTCGACTCCGACGCAGCTTTGGCCTCGTCCTTCTTTGCCAACCCGTTCGAAGCCATGTAGCTGCACCTAGAAGACATCAAAATCAGGATAGGTCGCAATAGCTACACAACCACACTGGTCATCATGACAGATGCATACATATGGCATATGATTCATATATGATGGCCACTGAGACCAAGGCAGCAAGAAAGTGGCAGCATGCAGGCCAGTCCTTTCAAAGCTCCGAACGGTGGTGACTTGTGGCGAGTTCCGGCGCGTTCCAGTTCGAGCTCCTCCGCGTCTCCAGCTCGAGCACCCGTCACATGAAAGCAAGAGCCTGGCATCGAAAATTGGAGGAATGGTCCGGTCTGGAGAAGAGAAACGGTGTTTTGGTTCTACTGGCATGCATTCTACAAAGCACTTGTACATGATTTCATGGCTGGTGAAGTTCCCCGTGTCAACAGTTCATGTTCAGTATGGAAAGAAAAAACAAACGTATGTCAAGGCTACTCTTCCCTCCTGAGGGCCTGCTAGACTCTGCAGAAGAGATCGATGGAGCTTGAAGTTTCTCACACCTCTAGTAACTAACTAGAGTTTCCAAATCAGCTCAAGCAGAATGGTGAGTCGTTGATGTCTCAAAACAAACCTTTGCTGAATCGCACAGGTGGCCAAATCCACCAAACACAAACTATTTCAATCACAAAAACCAACTGATCACGGTCCCATCCAAAGCAGGTTCACCGCGACATTGCAAGCAAAGGTGAATTCTCTGCATCTCATTGAGCTGGCCACTGGTCGAAGCAGCCATGGCACAAAGGTTGAGGCTCCAAGCCTCCAGTGCGAATAAAACAAGTACTTAGGACTTGAACGAGAGAATCCAGAAACATCTCTTCCAAATGCCAGGGTCCACCACTTCTGGAGCTTTGGTTTCTGCTGGATCTTGGGAACCAACACAAACGAAGCCACTGGAGATCACCAGCGTTGCTGCCGGAAGGGTCGCATCTGGCTGCCAGGAAGGTCTCAAATGCGTCCTTGGCTGGGCCGAATGGTTGACGGATTTCCGGGTTTTGCAAATCATATGAGCTGGGCCTCCCTACAATGTTGCAGGCGTGAGCAGAAAGTTTACAGCAGGGTGACTGCTAGCCTTGAATGTTGCCAGGACAAGTCAGAGAGAGAGAGAGAGATGTGAGAACATGTCAAATGCGCGGCCTTTATTCGATCCATGGAAGCATTCTCTTGAAACAGCACAATTGAAGACTGTTGCTCTTGGAAGTAGGCCACGTTCTCTTCGGAGAAGATGCATCCTAAGCTGCTCAGCAGGTGATGTCGCCTCAGTCAGAACAACAGCCATGGATTGAGACCATTTATCCCATGTCTTTCACAGACCATGCAATTACCACCTATGAGCCCTTGGCAGCGCGAGCAAGGAACGCCTCTGAATCTTCAATAGCCTTAGCATCGCGCAAATCTTCCAAAGTAAAAGCTTCTGCCTTCAGCTCTGTCAGCCCCTTGGTCTTCTGAGTGCAAAGAACCAACGGGATCTTCTGAGCGCTGCTCCTGCCATGGTCCATCCCGGAGCAACCTCCAAAAAGCGGCTCCGCTTTTTTTGGAGCTAGTGTAGCTATGATCAATGTCCTCATCCTCCACAAAAGTGGTCTCATTCCTAGCTTGGAGGCCACTACTATTAGGTCCATTAGGTAGTCTAAATCCATCTAATTCCAAGAAAAGACGAGAACGGCCTGGCACGTTCAGCGAAAGCTCCAGGTCTTTCACCGCGAAAGCTCCACCTGAGCGGTTTTTCTTATTTTCCGCTCGCAACACTCGTAGTCGCTGGACAAAGTGTGCAGAGTTGCCACTGCCTGTGCTCCACTGCAAAACCAGGACCTGCAGTTTCAAAACACACTTGGCTGGTGAAGACGGCGAGCTGGCTTTGTTCTAAAATACAGCATGTCAGTGTTTGAATGAGCAGAAACAAGCCTCTGCAGCAGCCTGCAAAAAATGCACCTGGGCAGCACCTCCTTGTGCACCTGCGGTGGTAACGCGCGCCAAAAGCTCGAACTGAACGACGCCTCTCATGGGTTCCTTCTGAGGTACCTCTTTTGCAACCCAAAGGCGACACGGTGCAGGTGACACGGTCATCTACCAGTGGTGTACCAGTGCTGTACCAGTGCTACCAGTGGTGTACTCCGTCTGAGCGAAACCTTCGTCGTCATCGACACAATCCGTCCGAGGCGACGTGCTTTTGCCCAAGCAGCGAGCGATGTTTGTTTTACCTGACAACCTGATCCTGGAATCCATATCAATGAAACATACAAGGTTCTCCTGAGAAAACAAGCTTGGTGGCTTAATGAGTATGAAATTCTCCCGGCAAATATGGCCAATGGGAAAGAAACTGCGACCTTCCAATCTGCGAAGCTGCTTGGCAACAATAGCTCCGTAGTCACCTCAACGCCAAGCAAGATTGAAATAGTTGAACCAATCGCATTTGACCCTTGCAAGGTCACCTTGCTTGAGGTCGTAGAGGCAATCAACCCAGAACCCAGTGCGTACAAAAACAAAAAGCCCTGAGACTATGGCTGACATCAGCCGCAAATGTCCCGCCAGGTAGGCTGCCTGAATTATCTCCAGGTCTCATCAACGCAGCTCAAATGCTGAACATCTCTCAGACCAGCACAGCTCCCAAACGTCCATAGAGAGTGAATGGCCTTGCCAGAATTCACGCACAAATCCTACAGTGCGTGCCACTAATCACCGTCTCTCAAACAGGGTGCTCTTCCGCTTAAAAAGGCATGTTGAAACATAGGATCCAGTGTACCCTGAGATGATTCCATGTGCCCTCAAAACCACAGGGTGATGAAGGTGTTAAGGCAAAATGCACTCAAGCGCCTCCATCACCAAAAAGATCTGATGGACCAGCTCTGCACTCGCTTCCTGTGCAAATGCCCCGCGACAAAACACTGAAGAGCTATGTTTGATTAAAGAAAAGCGTCTGCCAGCGAGAAGTTCAGCGGAAGTAGCAAGTCATGGGATTCGCCTCCAGATGCATGTTCTCAGCCTCCATGGTCGTCTCTACCTCTTTTGCACCACATCACATTAAGACACAACTCCAAAAAGCCATGAACCAAGTGTTCAAACCCTACGAGAATCCAGTGCAAAACTTTGCAGCTTGCCTCCTGCTTCGACAAAGCTTCCAACGCCTAGCCAAGCTTGAGTCAATCCACATAGAGCGTTTCGCAACGTGTCAGCGCGCCTTTGAGGGGAATTCTTCACCCACCTCTCTTTGAATGAGCAAAGATGCCAAGATCGCTGCCTTACTCGAAGCCCCAAACAGTCTTTGAACTTTTTCGGACTTGGAGAGGATAAAAAGGAGCAAGGAAATCTGGATCGTTTTGGGCTGCTTGGCTTCATGCAGTGGCGTGTGGCGGCCTCAGAAGGATTTCGGTATGTCCGCTATGACGATGGACAGAAAGAATCTTTCTTTGATCATGGCTCCGTTTGGGGGTTGGAAGGTGAAGCCCCCTCTTTCTGTAGCTCAGAAGTGCAGTTTTGGACCCAAAAGACTTCTTTGGAGAAAGTTGTGGCATTGTTGGACCAGTTTACTCCAGGCCCAGTTCGACTGCAGGGCCCAGCCCTGCCAAGCTGCCCCACCGTTGTGACGTCTTTTTGCCGAGTCCAGCAGTCAAGACCAGCCTTGAGCCGCTCAGGTCTTGGAGTAGTTGACAAGTTGAAAAATATGTAGTTATTGAGTCGAATCCGCTGGAAACAATGACTGTAGTCTCAAAAACCTGGGAAAAGCTGAAACAGGTGGCATCAAGGACAAAAAGATACAAAAAGCTCAAACAACTCTCGTCTTTTTTGAGCCTTAGAACCACCTCCTTGGACCGCTCGGGTCACGCAGGTCACACCGCTGGGGCTCCAGCTGTTCCACCAAGAACTCCGAGGACTCACGGAGCGGTGGTGCGAGACCTCCCCAGGCCTCGGCTGCGCGGTGGTGTGGGCCAGCAGCGACAGGACCAGCTTCGCTGGATCAAGCTGGGTACATTGATCAAGCTGTTGAAAATAGCTTAGAGAACTCGGATTTCATAGGATGCAGTTCAAACAAGCAAGGGGGACGCTGATGCTGTCCGTCAATGGCAAGAGCTTGGCTCTCAGTCGGCTTGCCTGCAGCTGCTTCCAGCTTAGGAACAAGCACCATGTCCGCGGGACCCAAAGAGAGAAGCACGAAAAAGGAAAACAGTGAAAAAGAAGCCAATGCAGAACAACCTGCAGATTACTGATTACTGCATTAGTATTCTATCGTCTTGACTTCTTTACTCCTCCTTCCAGTGCGAAAATGGGATTGCCGTACATTCCTTGGATCCTGACGTCAGGATCCCATGCTGAGCCGCTCGAAGCCAAGTAGGTGCGCAAGCGAGAGATCAAAGTCTCTACACCTCATCTTTTGTGCGAAAGGGACTCCATTCTCAAACGAGCATCAAAACATCGAGCATCATCGAACCATGTCGAAGCAAGCAAACAGAATTGCACTATGCTTTGCCCCTGCTTTGACGTTGGCACATGTCCAACTCAAGGTGGGCACCAGAAAGCCAGCTCGTAGGGGGCAATCCCTTCAAGAAGCCATAGATCTCTTGCAGCAAGCACAAGGCCTTCGGTGGCTTGCGAATGCTCTGACGGCGGTGGGTCCAAATTAGACCCCAAAAGGATGGCAGGCGAACGTTTTCCGTACACCCTGGGTGTCTGGGCTTCTCGAAGATGGGGTCTACATGGCTACGCTGGTGAAACCAGCCAAGTGGACATGCCAAGCGCTGAACCTGCCTTCGGTTCCAAAGATGCCCATGCCAAGCGCTGTACCTGCTTTCGGCCGTCCATTGCAATCGTGGTTTTACTTCAACTACCAGTTAATTCCACATGCCAAAGTGTGGCATGCCTGCAATTTTGATGATGTAGTGTCTGAACCCAGCACTGCAGTTGCCTCCAAGTTCAAAGAAGTGAGACATCACTATGACTATCTGCCAGAATTCCAGCCCTACGTTCGCCTCCAAGAGAGTCCGCAAGTGGTCCACAAGGCCTTGGTCAGTCTCTCCCTACTGCGCTCGTGCAGCGCAGTCATCTGAGGAGTTGGCCAAGTCCAAAACGAATACGCATGAGTACCTTCCAAAGCATGGCCCAAGCGCCAAGCGATTGCCATGGGCTTGTGGCAGCTGAACTCTACACGCCTCTTCAATGCCACCAGCTGCTTGCCAGGGAGCTTCTTTCAGGCTTGCAACCAAGCCTAACTTCAGGGTCTTCTTATGTTTCCAAATGCCAATGCGTGTAAAACACAACAGGAAAGGATGGTGG